AAAATGTGTCTTTCTATACAAACCTACGGAAATAAAGGTGTGCGTAGCGCAACTTTTGCCCCATGTGCTGAAAAATGGCGCCGCCCATGACAAAACGGGTCTGTACCCATTGCCGATCTAGTCTTTTTATTCTATATCTATGAAGACAGGCACTGAAAAAAAACATGTAGGGAGGAGATAGTGAGGAGAAAGCGTTTTATAGGTGGGATTAAAACCCCAGAACAATAGTCATGGTAAAACCCATGTTGATTATTAGGTAGGAACTGAAAACCCAATCCACATAATTGGCCCAGGCGGGTCACAGCGGTGGAAGGCGAGGAAAGAACCGCTACGCAAACTTGACTCATACTAGGGCGATCACTCCCTTGTTAAACAAATGCTGTTTTAATTTATAAAGAATATTAACTGATTTAAGTCTATTAATGGCCTTTTAGTGTCTACTGCCATTACGCTTAGATTATGATTAATTGAGGAATAACTAAATATTGGGGAATCTGGGCAAAAAAATAGCAACTTCAACTCTCCAAATAATAACCGTTTCGTGCAATTATCATCCTTCATCAGTATGTTACAAGTAAAAAGAGGGTGTGTGCATGGCAAATAATCGTAACGAGTGCATATTTACTACTCCCACTATATTGATTTCGAACTTGTTCGGCATGAAAGACAATAATATTGTTCAGTAAAGATTCAGGCCTAATCGTACACAACGACAGGACAATACTTACGAAATACTTCTCTCTTGGACCTTTTCAAGAATGACCTATGTAATTACCTGATCGTAGTCACAGGATATAAGACACCTTAGTTTAACACATGCAGCTAACATTCAAGTCACAAATATCAACGCGTCACAAAAGTTGAAACCCTTTCTAGCTGGTCCCCCAGCACAAGCAAACGGAGAGTGGTTGCACTGAACTGAATGTATAGCACTTTGATATAGGGTCGATGACGTCATACATAAACCCCAACAGTTATCATGGCGCTCTTAGTTATCTGGCTCCGACTGGCTCACCGTTCGCACAAAAGTCACTCTAATTGGCTGTGCTGCTACGTGGCAGAATTCATCATTATTCATTGAGCTGAATAGGCTACATTTTGGTCAAAAAAAGGAATGGAAGGTGTCAGTGCAGGCTGATTTAATATACAGCCTCTTTAAAGACAACCACTGATTTTAATGTCGTGCATAAAGTTTATTTGTGTTCAGTTCCGGTTTCGAAACCTAATGGGAGCGGTTCACAATACGGTGTTCCTCCAACGTTTATCTTCGAAAAGGTACATTTTTCGGGTCGCGGGTCCACATCAGTAACTATGGCGACGCTATACAAATGTAAACCGTCCCAACGATCAAATTTTGGCGTTTAATATAATTATGATCACTATGTAATAACGGGGTCTCTGGATTTTTGCGTATGGCAGCCAGCCATACGACCCAGAAACATTGTATGACCATGTATAGCACAGGCATAGATCGAAAGTGTTTAATTGTGTCGGAGGGAGGAAAACCGGAGGACCCGTAGCAAAACCCTCCTGGCACAGAAGGGAACGGACGCACAACTCTAAAGTTCTAAAGTTTTAAACTAAAGTTCTATACCCAAAGTCCAAAGAGTTTAAGACACCAGTCAAATCAAGGCTCATTTCATCATCTTTTATAATCTTTTTTTTTTTTGGGCGGGGGGGGGGGGTAGTCCAAATGATTTTCGGGTGAAAATTCCGTGCAAATACAATCAACCCTAAAAGTAGTCCTAAAGCCCATCGCCATTTTGAAAAATGACGCCTGCGCTCGCTGGCAGAATAGAGCAACTTTAGGGCAGTCCGGATCGCGGCTTCCACTCTTCTTGTATACAAACACTCACGTTCACGGCCCACAAAATGCTCTAATTCCAACATGAAAATTGAGGGCATACTAATCGTTATTTGTACCCGCGTAGGCAATCTTTGGCTCATTTACTCGCCTGCACCCTTATCGTAGCTGTACACGTTTCTTTATGGAAAGCGTATGCAGACCAACTGAGAAAATCCATCACGCCTATCTTGTGCATCGGGTCGGGTTGACCAGGCCAAACTGACCCGAAACGTGACAGAAACCGACCCGACCCCGAAACCGAATGTTTTTCCAATCACTTCAGTCGGGTCGGCGACGGTTTGGGTTCGTTTTTACATTTGCGATTGTCGGCAGAGGTGGGTTAAGCCATCTTCCGAGTTCTGAAAAACCCGAAATAATCTGGAAAAAGTAGAAAGTAGACCCTGGAAACGAGGTTGTGGAAGTAAGTAGCCTCCCATATACTGGTTCTACGTCTTTCTTGAGGTTGAAAGAATACCCTGGGAATGAGGTTGTGGAAATAAGAAACCCTCCCATAAACAGGTTCTACTTCTGTCTTTCGGTTGAAAGTAGACTCTGGGAACGAGAATGTTGAAGTAAACCTCCTATACTCAAGTTCTACGGGCAGTTATGTCATGAGGTTAAAAGTAGACCAGTCGGAACGAGGTTGCGGAAGTGAGTAACCCTCATATAACAGGTTCTACTTCTGTATCACACATTGTAACAAATCACTTATGAACAATAACAAAATAAAAATAGAACGGTACATGTGTATGATTAAAACACGGGGTATGAAAACAACACGTATACTGCCAACCCACTTGGAAATTGAGATAAATTTGTGTAAGCTTCAAACAAAGATTGACATAACTTGGGCACTTTGAAAAAAAAAAGCAAAAGAGGAAAAAATACAGAGTTTAGTCATTAACTCAAACTGTTTCCATGCATATCTTTAATGCCTTATTGGAACGGGAAATGTAGCAAAGTATAGCCTCCTTCGTGTCAAGATGTGCAAACAGTGTTTGTCGCCCTTTGGTCAAAGTACGTGTTTGTTTGTTTGCATTATGTATGTCCTAATGTATTAATAGGGAGGTTTCGCAAGCGAACGGATACGCTTACACTTACGCTTAGCTATCCGTATCCGTTTTTTACTTACGTGTAGCGAGCGAGATATGCATGTCGTCTCCACGTATGACGTCATACGCCACTCACTATCCGCTAAACGTGCAGACGACACGCATATCTCGCTCGCTACACGTAAGTAAAAAACGGATACGGATAGCTAAGCGTAAGTGTAAGCGTATCCGTTCGCTTGCGAAACCTCCCTAATAACTCTCATATTGATTTCATATGCATTTGTCCCGCAGACTAGTCGATTGTTCGGTGAAGATTTAATCCCATTCGGCCAAAAAGGATGGTAGTTACAAATGATTTTCTCTGGAACCTTGTCCTTCAACAAGAAATTTCACAGTCGCTGTCTCAGAAAATTAAGAAACTTCAGTTCCGAACCTCCAGCGTTCAAGTCACAAATTTATAACTGCGTCACAAATATAATTTTCTAGCCGCGCCAATGAAGCAAGAGCGGGTATTGCGGCCTAAATGTATCAGCACTGTTTTGTGGCTCCCTTCTCTTTTGAATCGGTAGAAATGAGGGATCCTGCAGCTCTGTAGCAGTCTTTCTACTTGTATTTCCGTGAAAATTTGGATGAAACTGGCCCTAAAAGCCGCTCTATTTTGCAATGAGGGTAGAGGAATAAAGTTTCAACGTTGCCATTGGCTTCTGGACTGCTAATAGGGGTGGTCATCTTTGGATGAAAAAAACACACCCAAATATCATACGTTAACACCCTTCCAAAAAGAACGGTTCAAAAGTTTAGGGGAGTCTAAATTGGAAACTTGTCCGAGTCTGTAGGAACTTTGTCAACAATTTAAGGAACACTCTGAAAAAGGATTATTTTCGGAAACAAGTCATGGACAACAAACAAAATCCTTCTGGCCTTTGGTCCATCTTAAAGAAAGCCATGCCGACAAAATTGCACAAGGTTCCTAACAGTCTCAGGGTAAATGCTTCTGTGTTCGACAAACCTAAACAAATAGCTCAGGCCTTCAACACGTTTCGTGTCGATTGGAGTTAACCTGTCTAGTACATTTCAATCTCGGAACAACCCAAAACCTTGTTTTGACAACTTACCTGATTCCGAAAATAATTTCACATTTTATGATATTGAACCTGGTTTTGTCATGAAGCAGCTTAACAATCTCAATTTAACCAAAGCTACTGGTGTTGATGGAATTAGCGCAAGACTACTAAAGATTGCGCCACCGGTAATTTCAGAATCGTGTAAATTATTTAATAGATCTCTGGTAGAGGCGGACATACCAGACGAGTGGAAACAGGCTAAAGTCACGCCTATTCACAAAGAAGGTAACCTTGACGACACGAATAACTACCGGCCAATCTCAGTCATCCCAATTGTGATGAAAGTCTTTGAGAAAGCAATTCATTTGCAGGTGTATGACTTCTTATATGACAATGGCTTGATCTGTACCCAACAGTCAGGGTTCAGGCCCGGGTATTCAACCTGTACTTCATTGACGTATGTAACAAACTACCTGTACAATCAAATGGATCAGGGTAAAATTACAGGTATGTTTTTTCTCGATCTCAAGAAAGCCTTTGACACAGTAGATCACGAATTACTTTTGTGTAAATTACAGGCTTATGGTATTAAGAACGGTGCTCTGGCTTGGTTTAAATCTTATATGACCAACCGTAAACAAGCCACTGCTTTTCGGGGCGAGACATCTGATTTGGAATTGATCAAGGTTGGTGTTTCACAAGGTTCAATATTGGGTCTTCTCTTGTTCATGATTTATATCAATGATTTACCTCGAGCAGTCTCGAAGGCCTCGGTCATTTTATACGCAGATGATACAGTGGTTATGTTCAGCGGTAGCAACATTGCTGGCATTGAATCTACTCTGAACACAGAATTATCTTTGCCTGCGTTACGGTTGTATAGCAGGCAAAATTTGTCTAATCGGTTGAGGAATGAATTCCGCGAGGCGGTGGTGCGTATAAGGGTGGAAAGGGCGTGTCAAATTTGAATATGAAAGACGTGCATAGAATGTACGTAGAACGTGTGAGGCGAAGGCGTGGGGGATCATTATAGCTTGCGACTTCAGGTCAGTTAACACACACAAAGATGGAGCTGGGCGACATTTCAGACCTTGTGGAAGCAAAAATACAGGACAACCAAGCAGTACTTTTGAGTCAGCTTGATAAGTTAATGTCTAGTAAGCTGAACAAGTTCCAGCAACAAATACAAGAGAACCAACGAGACTTGAGCGACGTGCAGGTTGTGAAGATTGAGGAAATGACTAAAGACTCGTATACATTTCGTAAACGAGGAAATGAAGAGCAACATAAGGTCAACGTCAAGGCAATAAGGAAAATGAAGGAGGCGGATGCCATCCTCGAGGCAGACAGCGCTACCAGCTACATTGGAGAAGCAAGAGCAAAAATATCGGAAGAGCGGGATCATCGACGGCAGTGAGCAGTAGAGCGAGCACATCATCGGACATCGGCTACCGCCAGCAGCAGGGCTACGGGGGTAGAAAACCGGGAGCGTGCTTCGCATGCGGGAAGTTTGGTCACTGGAGAGCGGAATGCAGAGAGGCAGTGAAGGAGACAAGTGGCAGCCTTAAGATAAGTGAAAAGGCAGATGAAGTATGCATGAATGTGATTTGTAGTTTGGTCCAACGAGAAATAGCATCTCCGGTTGGGCGTTTAAAGAGTAATCTGAAAAAAATGGGAGGAGATTAATGCCAACAGTAGCATAATGAGCATTTTGCGTAATGGGTATATGTTGCCACTGTTTACTTTGCCTGAAGAAGCTGAAATAAGAAATAACAGGTCGGCTTTTGATAAGTTTGATTTTGTTGGTTCAGAAATAGAGAAGTTGTTGCTCAAGGGGTGTATAGTCGAGGTTAGCCAAAAACCATATGTTGTTAATCCATTAACGGTAGCGGGTAACAAAGATAAGCCTAGATTGGTACTAGATTGCCGCCACATAAATCCTCATCTGTACAAAGAAAAGTTTAAATACGAGGATGCACAAGTTGTACGGGATTTGTTCAAAGTTAATGATTTTGCTATAACTTATGATTTGAAATCAGCTTACCATCATATCGAAATAACCGAAGAGCACCGAAAGTTTTTAGGTTTTGCCTGGGAGAAAGAGGGCAAGAAAAAGTATTACGTGTTCAATGTGCTGCCATTTGGCCTATCAACGGCAGGTTATGTATTCTCAAAAGTAATGAGAGAAGTAGTTGCATATTGGAGAAGCAAGGGGTTCAAAGTAGTAATGTTTCTAGATGATGGTTTGGCTGGAAGTGCCACTAGAGAGAAAGCTAAAGGGCAGAGTGATTTCATCCGAAACAGTTTGAAGGATTTGGGCTTTTTAATAGCCGAAGAAAAGTGTGATTGGGAGCCGAAAACAAAAGTTGTTTGGCTCGGTCTGGTATGGGATTTTGGACATGGGGTCATGCATATCACTGAAAAGAGGACTAAAAATCTCATATATTCAATAAATCAGTTGTTGAGCGGGTTAGACGCGCCTTTTGCGCTGGTAAAGGCCAGGTCATTGGCAGGCATCCTAGGCCAAATCGTATCAATGCATAGCGTTTTGGGATCATTGGTTCAGCTAAAAACAAGGGAAGCATTCAAATGTGTCAATAGCAGAGCAAGTTGGAATGCCAGCGTAGTGTTGGCATCAGAAGCCAAATCAGAATTGATATTTTGGAGAGATCAGGTAGATCAAATAAATTCCAGATCGATATCGGAGCACATGGTTGTGCATTCATCAGTATACACAGATGCTTCAGGCATAGGTTGTGGAGGGTATGGGTGGGGACATGAGGAGATGGAGATGGTTGGAGCTTGGTCACAGAATGAAATGGGTAAAAGTTCCACGTGGAGGGAACTAGAAGCAGTTCATAGAATGATGCAAGATATGGCACAAGGTCTGGAAGGGCCAAATGTTCGTGTGTATACGGACAATAAGAATGTAGTGAAGATTATCAAAGCAGGTAGTAATAATTCAGAATTGCAACAGAAGGCACTACAGATCCGAGAAATTTGCTCAAAAGTTGACATGAAAGTTGATCCAGTGTGGATACCAAGAGCAGACAATAAACGTGCAGATGATCTGAGTAGAATGGCTGATAGCGATGATTGGCAAATAGATCACAAAACCTTTGCAAGGTTAGACAGATGTTGGGGTCCTCATTCTTGCGATAGATTCGCATGTGGGTACAATTCAAAGTGTCAAAAATTCAACTCACGGGGATGGTACCCCGGAACTTCAGGTGTAGACGCCTTTAGTCAAAAATGGTCGAATGAGATGAATTGGTGGGTGCCTCCATCCAAATTAATTGCTAGAACGGTAGATAAGTGTGTAGCAGAAAAAGCATGCGGAACGTTAGTGGTTCCATACTGGCAATCGGCGCCGTTTTGGCCCAAGGTTTGGAATGGTTCTAGTTTTAAGCCATTTGTGCAGGCGCACGAGTTTTTAACATCCGATGTTGTGTGGAAAGGGAAAGGCAAGAATGGGATATTTGGAAAACGTGGGAGTATATTCAAACTAATCGCACTGAAAATACGGTTCTAATTGAGTTATTTCTTTTTAGTACTAGGGATATCTTGTGCGGTTCATCAGGCTTTAGAAGAGACAGGAGCCAAGACCAGCAAGCTGACTACATTGGCGGACAACATGTCAACACAGCTGATGGAATCCAGAAGTGAGGGGACTACGACCAAGTACTCGTGTCTGCATTCAAAAGATGGCAGGCATTCATACAGACGGAGGGGGGCGAGGCGATACCGGCGAAGCCAATACACGTTGCATTATATATTTCAAGTCTGATTGATCAAGGGTCTTCGTCAAATGCCGTTCAGGCGGCAGTATATGCAATTAAATGGGCTCATAATATTAGAGGATCAAATGATCCCACAGATAATCTTTTCGTTAAAAATTTACTGGAAACGGCTAAAAGGAAAAATTCAAAGCCAACGATAAAGAAAGACATAGTTACGGCAGAGCAGATCATCGCCTTATGCGATCAGTACGGGGATTCGGAAGATATCATGGTGTTACGAGATCTAGCCATCATAGTTTTGGGATTTTCGGGTTTTCTAAGATTTGAGGAGATCCGTTCTTTGAGGGCAGTAGATGTAAAATTCCACGAAAGTTGTTTGACTTTGTACTTGAGCAAAAGCAAAACAGATCAATACAGGAAAGGAAATACAGTAACAATTTCCAAAGGTAACACAGCTGCCTGTCCTCTAAAGGTGGTAGGGAATTATTTTGAAAAGGCAGGAATCTTACTAGACTCCGACCAGTTTATTTTTCGGCCGGCATTCTGTAACAAAGGAAGAAAGGTACTTGTAAAGAAAAATAAGCAAATAAGTTACACCCGGGCTAGAGAAACGGTTTTGAGTCGACTTAGAGAGGTTTGTGGCGATGCACATATTGAGCTTCATTCGCTCAGGGCCGGTGGTGCCACTGCTGCCGCAAGGGCGTCAGTCAATGATAGACTGTGGAAGAGGCATGGGAGGTGGCGGAGCGATACAGCCAAAGATGGTTATGTTGATGGTTATGTTGATGACAGTCTAGAACACAAGTTATCCGTTAGTCAGGCACTACAATTGTAAGAAATTATTACCCTCCAATGTTGCTGCTGAGCATTGTTCAAACACACTGGCTTTAATGTAAATGATTAATGTTATTACACATAAATAACGGAGATATTATAATTTGTTGATATCAATGTTATGCGATTTCATGGAGGCTCGAAATATAAGCCCAAAAAAAAAAAAAAGTTGTTCCTTTAAATTGGTTCCACAAAGGCAGCACAGTGAAGTAATGTTATCCAATACACTGGCTTTAATGTAAATGTGTAATGTAAATACAGTAAGAACGAAGGTATGGAATTTAGTTGGATTTTATGCGATTTCATGGAGGCTGGAAAGGAAGGCAAAAAAAAAAAAAGCAATTTAGTGGTTCTTTTAAATTGGTTTCACGAAAGTAGCACAGTAAAGTATACACGGTTATTCAAGCGATGTTTATTATTGTATCACGAGGAAAAGTTGTAAAGGAAAAAGCAAGTTGCGACATAAATTGCTGTAAATGCAGTGAAAATTACTTTATGAGGCACAGTTTAGGTTGAAAGTAGAAGGGTTGGCAAATTTTGTGCAGATATTCCGGAAGTGAAGATAAAGAGATTAATAAGCGGCAAAAAAAAAAAAAAAAAGATAACGAAGCCTCTTGCCCGATCTTTGAATTCTAGCCCCTTGGCAAGCCGTACCCTATATATGGTAATATATGTTGTATATTAATTTGGTGTTGTCTTCATAGGAAAGGATGTATCATTAGAATAGACTTATCTTTGCCTGCGTTACGGTTGTATAGCAGGCAAAATGTGTCTAATCGGTTGAGGAATGAATTCCGCGAGGCGGTGGTGCGTATAAGGGTGGAAAGGGTGTGTCAAATTTGAATCTGAAAGACGTGCATAGAATGTACGTAGAACGTGTGAGGCGAAGGCGTGGGGGATCATTCTAGCTTGCGACTTCAGGTCAGTTAAGAACAAACAGAGAATGGATCAGCTTTAAAAAATAGCTTTATGTAAACGTTCGAAACGTTTTGTCTTGCTGGCAACCACAAGGTTTTCCAGAGTTTTTGCTCATTGAGTTTTATCTCTGGTTTTTAATCCAGTGGGTTTATTCGGGAGTTTGTACGATTACATTGAATATCTGTATAATTATTGTTTAAAATTAAACAATTAAAGAGCCAGCTCCAACTGGTTGACTGCCCCTTGGCAAGCCGTACCCTATATATGGTAATATATGTTGTATATTAATTTGGTGTTGTCTTCATAGGAAAGGATGTATCATTAGAATAGACCTGGATCTTATTAATGATTGGCTCAAACTCAACAAACGTACCTTAAATGTTTCAAAAACACAATGTATGTCAGTTGGGACAACCCGGAAACTTAATGGAGTAGATGATATGCAGTTACATATTGATCAGATGCCTTTAGACAAAGTAAATGTTTTTAAGTATCTTGGAATATGGATGGATGAAAATCTTAATTGGCAACAACATGTGCAAAAAACTGTCAGTAAAATATCTAGTAGATTGGCCTTGATCAGACGCCTTAAAGGATATTTGGATTCTAACTCAATTAAACTGTTATGTAATTCTCTAGTGTTGCCGCATTTTGAGTACCGTTGTCCTGCCTGGATTAGTGGATGTACGGAGCGGTTGACGAACACTCTCCTTAGACAACACAAACAGATGGCCAGAATAGCTTTGAATGTTGACTACACTACTCCTTCTGTTGAGATGTATGCCATATTGAAATGGGTTCCCATAAAAGACCGGTGGGATTATCACAGAAGCACTCTCATGTACAAAATTGTTAATGGCAGTGCTCCGACTTACCTCTCTGGTGAATTTATTCTCGCCAGAGAAGTACATTCACACCAGACTAGGAATGCAGTAGGAAAAAATATATGTCCTCCTAGACCCCGAACCAGAGCAGGTAAACAATCTTTTCATTCTGTTGGGACACAGGTTTGGAACAACTTGGCACCTAATATAAAACTGGCCAATGATCTCACGTCTTTTAAAACTCTGTACTGGGCAAATAAATAGATGGAAGTTACAGGTGTATAGGGATTTATTTATGGTTCTTGGGGAGCGGGGGAGGTTTTTTTTTTTTTTTTTTAATATTATTTCTATTTTAAGAACAGTTGCCTTTTAATCAATGGACAAGGGAAATGCGAAAGTCAATTTTTAAACAAGACCATGGTTTTTTTTAACTCGGGATTAATGTTCCATTTTAAATCTGTTCATCTATACATCGTCTGTTTTAATCTAGGGTTTTAATTTTGTGTGGTTTTAATTACTTGGGTTATACATCGTCTGTTGTAATTTAGGGTTTTAATTTTGCGTGGTTTTAACTCCTTGGATTATTTTTTGTAATGTATTCATTATATCTTTTATTGTGTTTTGGTAATTTTTGTCGTTATTATATCATGTTTTTATGTAATCCAGGGCCCCCAGGGAGAACAGTTCATTGACAACTGATGGGGCTACCCTGGTAAAATAACACGAAATAAATAAATAAATAAAGTCCCTCAATCAAGCTTAATTTGATGTGTGTCTTGATCACCCACGAGAGTTGATCCTTCTGAGTATTTTGCCATTTTGTTTAAATCAGATATTGTGACAAGATGGGGAATAGCAATAAATGGTTGCAGGTCTATTTTCTTGCTTGCCAAATCCAGAGATGACGTAATTGTTCTGTTTGTAATATGAAGTATTGGGTCGCCTGCAATGTATTGAAGGGGCTTATGTAAATTCATTGTTTTATGGTATGAACCGTGTAGACTTGGAGCGAGTCTACATGGGAGCGGCCAATCTGCAGCGCGGTCATTGCTTTTCATGCAAAGCGCCGGGCTGCAGGACTACTTTTAGGGGTGATCATACTTTGGATGGACATTACTCCAAAACGTTATTAAATTACCCCTCAAAATAAAAAAAAAATAAAGATGATAAAATAAGCTTTATTTTGGGTGTATCTATAAAAAAAAAAAAAAATGGAGAGCTGAGAGCATTTTATCCTTATTAAGTGGGGTATTTGTCGTTGAGGTCTATGGCAGTTTATTTACTGGTCTGCAACCCAATGTTCGTGGGTGCCATTTAGTTTGTGCACATACGCAAAATATTCCCGCTATACGGTGTTCTTATTTTTGTGCGTGCCTCTGAGGGTCAAAATGGGTCAGATATTTTCGTTTGCAAATTGGAGATTTCAATATGCAGGGTGAGTAAAAAAAAAACGAAACCCAAATGTCGTGACTATTGTTTTAGTTCAGTTTTGCATGTAGCACTTTCAAAATCTTTGATATGAAAGCCCAATTCATAAGCTTTCTGTTAGTACAAGAGTAATTTAAATCACTAATGTAATTTTTAAGTTATGGAATTTTAAACACAAGCCCCGTTTTAAAGTTCTGTCCACGGATCACAAAAGGTAAGTGTTCTTTTGGCAAAACGAAAACAAATCACGTACTTTGTTACGTGAAAACAAATTGTTTTCGTTATGCTGAAAGACTGTGCACTTTGTTGTGATCCATGGACAGAACTTTAAAACTGTGGTTTTGTTTAAAATTCCATAACTTGAAAAGCACTTAAGTGACTTGAATGATTCTTGTACTAAAACAAAGCTTATGCATTGGGCTTTCATATCATATATTTTGAAAGTGCTACATGCAGAACGTCACTATAGCATTAGTCCCGACATTTGGGTGTCGCTTTTTTTCCTACTCATCCTGTATTTAGTCTTTAAATGAAACATTACGAGCTATTTCTCTTCTGAGCAACGTGGTTCACAGTGAATGTTAAACCACGTTAGAGCCCACACCAAGTACATGTCGATATAACTCCATTTCTTGCTTCTGTGGGATCGAATCAGAATACATGAAGCATGTTTCCCTCCCAGGGTCTATAGTCTATATATTGAAAGTAAACCTTAGGAACGAGGTAGTAAGTCACCCTCCCATGCAAGATCTATTTCTATCTTGAGGTTGTAAGTCGACCCTGGGAACGAGATTTGTTGCCCTAATACA